GCATCGAATGGTATATTACACTAGACTAAATACTGTATAGTTGCGGAGAAATTTTGATTTTACCGTAACACTGATAGTGTAACGGAGGTGTTTCTGTGCGAGTAGATTTGATCGTATACATCCAAGCGGAATCGTCCGATACAGTCGAAAGCACTAAATAAGATAAGTTTGATGAATTCTGGATACTTTGAGGCAATAAAATAACAATAATTTAGTGGGCCGATTTCAAGTCTTATGCGGACCACTCCTTTAGAAAAACTATATTTCATATTTATCTTTATCACTAGAAAATTCTCACTATTATAATAGTTTCAAATTGACTTTTCAGAAATAAATTTCATACGAATAAGTATCGAATCGGTGGGACTGTCTACAAATTATTACCGTTCTTCATATTTTTCTTTTGCTTCACGTCTTTGTTCACGAGGAAATGGGATACCAAAAATACGTTTGTCTAAAAATTGATCTGCTTCGTCTTGAGCTAAAAATTAAAAAAAAATGAATTATAATCGTTAATAGTATACTACCATCAATTCTATTCTATACATACGAAACTCGTCGGTGTCATCGTCAATATATGTCAGATGCACAAAACCGAACAAAAGCGTGACACAAGCCAAAATGAAAATAATTTTGTTCATCTTAAATGTCGAAGAAATGTTTCACTTTTAAGCATCGAAAAAGTAAATTTTTTCACTTTAAATTCTCTATTTCTCGTTTAAGTTCATGTTGCATGAAAAACATACTTAAATAACTAGCTAATCCAAGAATACATTTTAAAGAATTAAAAAAGTAAAAGTTTTTGGCGTTTTTTTCACATAGATATCTTTTGAAATTTGTTCAATGACTTCATATTATTTCATATTATACAGAGACATACGGAAAAATTAGGAAATCTAAAACGTACAAAAAGCCTATTACGTACGATGATTATGTTTCGTCGAGATATCTGTTACTGTATTACTGTACGCAAAATATTCTTTTAGATATAACAAAAAACAGAACAAAATGTTGCAGATATTTTGTTATTATGATAGATAATAAGTTTTGGTCCATTTTTCTTTCGTTTTTTTTCTGTTGTATCATAGGAAAATATGCCTGTCAGCACAGTTCTAATGATTAATCATTATACTCAAATTGTTTACTTCAAGATGATTCACACAGTATAATTCTTTATGGTCCGCAAACTTGTTAGCAATTGAATTACTTAATCAAAAATGATTATATATTTTTAGTGCTGAAAGCTGTTTCATAATACAATGATAAAGAATATTATAACAACTAATTAATAGTTTTTTCGAAGATATGCACCGAACTCTCAGCAAAAGAAAAAAGTAAAATCTTATCAAAAACGATAATTGGTTAGTATCAATCATCAAGGATTAGAAGAGAGAGGGGGGGGGATGGGAAAGAAACTAACTGCTGAAGAAAAATAGTAGCAAACAAAAAAATACTAGTAATAATACCATCACGTTTTATACGAGTATATACCAAAAAAGATTAAAGAACGTCCATAATTGAGATATCAAGATATTGTTAAACGATATTAAAGTATCATCAAGAATTTAAAGGGTAAATTTGTTTTTAAATATTTAGTAAAGTAACTTTGAGAATTAAACAGTTCCTTCTTGCATTAAAAGATAAAACTTGTTTTTCATGAAAAATTGTCTTCCTTTTTGAATAATTTGTTCAATTAGTATTAAAAGAACATGGAATATATTTTCTCTCTTTTCCATACAATTTAAAATTTTTTTATTTTCTTTTTTATTATGCTATGTTTAGATGAAACCAATTTATCTGTTAACTTTATTTTTATTCGGTTTATTGTTTATTGTTCGTGGTGAAGACGATGCAGAATTCGAAGAAGGTAAGATAACATATATTGTTATGTTACATAGTAATGAAGTTGAAAAGAAAAACCCGTTGTATAATTAATTGTTTGAACTTTTGAGATATTGTTGATAATTATGATTATTGTTAAAAAGTTGTTATTTATAAGATGAATATGATATATCATTATTTTTTTCAAATTTAAAAGGTTTTTAATTAATGAACGCATGTACAAGAGAAACATTGTAATGCTCACCGGCACGACTAGATATCTCTGTTTAATTTCTATATAGCAGCACGCTATTAATAAAATTCTATATGAATTAATAATAATAATAAGTGAATCGTATATAAAATTATTATTATTTGTAGACCGAAATCAAGCACTCTTATTTATAAAACGTGTTTATAAACCTTTCAAAACAAAATGTGAAGAGAAAAAACGAGAAGCAAAATCAGCGTATGAATCGAAATGTGAGTCAAAATCGTGGATACCAGGTGCTAGAAAAAATACAGATAAACGATCTTGTCCAGATTTAAAAGACTGGCCAGCATTCAAAACATGGGAAGTTGTTTAAATTATTAATATTAATTATCGACGATAAGAAAAAGTTTATTCAACATTTTATATTATCTTTAGTTATGAACAAAATATTTTTGGACAATAAATATATGTAAAACATTGTTTTTCGACTGGCCAGTAAAGATAAAAATGAATTCAGAAAATTAGAAATGAATGTATGATTAATGTATTTAAAATCTTTATTAGTTAAGGGTACACGTCCCCCCCTCCCCTCTTTTTTCATCTTGTTGCCAAATGCGGAGCACACGTCCGATTGAGCTCAAATTTATACCAGAGACAGAACATCGAAAAAGAAAATCAATGTATTTTTGCCCAGAATTTTCTGACGTGTTCTTATATGGGCTTTCTGGAAAACTTCACATTACGACCCCTCGAAAAAATGATTCGATCGAGCTCAAATTTTTACCACAGATACTTCAGACCCTATGTCAGGAATATCAATTTTTTTCCGAAAAATATGCATTCGTTTTCGTTTCGTTTTACTCAATCGGACGTGTGCTCCGGATTTGGCAACAAGGTGGAAAATAGGAGGTACTCTTAAGTATCCATAGATAGTCTGTGAAATTTACCCGTTTTTAATGAAAAACGTTGATAAAGTTTAATGAAAACTAGTAGATTATACGGTATTCTATCTGAACTTTCTACTAGATTGAATGTTATCTTAGTCTGCACAGTTTCCTATTCGAATATTAAAACCTAAGAGAAAGAGCAAACTCAACAGCAGACAGTTTTATAATTTTTCAGAAAAATGTTATTGACGTGTGCCTACTTCAATACACACTTTCTCGCTCTCTTTTTGTAGATGCATTTGAGGCAGACCGTTATATATATATATATATATTTTGAATAACTGTTAGATAGAGAACAGAGGATTTACTCATAAAAGTCACTCTCTCAGACACTATACTTTGGTAGGGGAAAAACAAATCAGTTCATAGATTCTCTGATTTGTAGAACAATGAAACAGAATGGGAACAAAAAAACAAGAAAATGAATTTTTGAACGCGTCATTTATAAATAGATTTAAATGCACAGCATTTAAAAGCTAGGAAAGTGGTAGCGGACAATCCATTCAAGTTGACCCTGCCAAAATTTCAATTCTCAAAATAAATCCTATTCCAGGTTCATCTGGCGAAAAACAATAGAAACACGTGCTTCTTTTTTTGTATGAAAAAAGATCGAATTTTCCATTCATTTAAACATTTTCTTCTGATATTATACAGTTTTCATACTCATCTCGTTTAATTTAGAATTGCATAATTATAACAAAAAAAACACTAACGGAATGTATATTCTAATTTTCTTGAAAAATTTATTTCTTCTTTTCATAAACTTACATGATTAGAATAGATTATTTTAACTAAAAGTGTTTATTTAACAGTGATAAGATGTTATATTTTTTGTATTTGTAAAAAAGTTGAAAGTATCAACTATTCTCGTACTGTGCAAGATACTGTAATTTGTTCATTCCTTAAAATAACAGCTATTAAACATCGTAAAAACACAGTTATGTCTTCTCCTTTCTTTGAATGCTGTTTCTCATTACCCTCATTCGTATGTTAGTTCATACATTTTATAATTTTCTTCACTAAAGCACAATATCTTTGAATTGTGCATGAATTGTGTGCAAGAAAAAATGTTTTTTATTTACAAAGAAATATATATATATATTGTATTCATGTAAATAAGGAAGGGCGATGTATATGTGCTGTTGGTACATCATAAACATTGTTCCGATTGCTGCTGAAGTGAGCTTGTTGCTGAAATTGTCAGTGCTATCATCACTAAAGGTTTAGATGGAAAGAAGAAACGAAATATTGCAAAGTCATCAGCTAATAATGATAATGGTAATAAGAATTGAAGATTTAGTTCATAAACGTCTAAATATTTTTAGACAAAATAATATCACCAATAGAATAATTTTTTCTTTCATTGTCAAGAGATTTTGAATGTTGTGATGAATTTGTTCATTATAGATAAAAATGTTGTAATGGTGTATGATATCTCTTTCTAGACTAGATTTAACTGTGTAATAATGAGTTTTCACTTCATTTACATTATTTATCAGCGAGTTTGTAACTAGTTTTGTAAGCAACATCAGTTTGTTTAGTAGACTCCATTTAGTTTTAGTTTACTCTATTGAAGAAGGAAATACTAACTTAGACTAGTGAATTGTAACCATAAGTAGTAATTCTTATTATTATAGAACAGCAATCTGCTCTTGAGTTTCTTCGACGGACAATTTTTCATCCAACATTAACAAAATGTGAGGAACAAAAACGTGAAGCAAAAGAAGATTAGTAAGTGTTGATATGTTGTACATTCTTTTAATAATCATTTTAAAGTAATGCATGTCATTTGAATTGAGAATTAGAGATATTTCACAGTTTTTCTTCCGATGATGTGATGTTCGTTTGTTATGCGAATAGAGTAGTTTGCACAATGGTACACAAAATATTAAAAGTCTTGTCTTTCCTTCTATTCAAGTGAAGAAAGATGTGAACCCAGTATGCCATTTCATCGAAACAAAGGAAAAGACCGAAATTGTCCAGATTTAAATACATGGGATGCCTTTATAAATTATGAAATTGGAAATGGTATGTCAATTGATGGTTTAAAACCTAATATTAAATTACCCAAATTTCCAAAAATGCCTACTGCCAATGATGCAGTAAAAAAAGTTCTAGGTGTCGATACACGAGGATACAATCAAGATTTGGATGATGATGATGAAAGTGATTAAATACAAGAATAAATCAAATAGAAAATTAATAAAATGATCTAAAATTAATTCGATTTTCAGAAAGTTTTAAGTATTTGTGTTTTCTTGGATTAATTTTTTTATAATTTGTAAACATCGTTTTTGTAATAGAATAAAAAGTCATTGATTATTTAATTTAAAATTAAATTTTAATGAAAGTATATACAAATCAGAAAAGTGATGGTTTTTATTATTGTGAAAAAAGATAATATTGACAAAAATAAAAACTTGATTATTTTATTCAGGAATTATTTTTTCTGTGTTTAGAATCAGCAAATGCCCAAAATTTTTTAAAACGAAGTTTTCTTCATCCTGGTCGTACCAAATGTGAAGAACAAAAACGAGAAGCTCGTGAAGATTACGGTAAGAATTGTGATGATATATTCAAATTATCGACTTATTTTAGTAATTCTGATTCATTTTTTTTTGTGATTGTAGAAGAAAGATGTGAACCTTCTTTTCCGTTATTTCGCAATAGTGGTCATCATCGATTTTGTCCTGATATTAACTCTTGGCAAGAATTTGATAATTATGAAATTGGAAATGGCTATGATTCACATGTAACCCCTCCGTCGAAGAACAATAATCGTCATAAACCGGATCATACAGTGAACGATGAACTTGAAATATAGACACTCTTCTCTAAACTATTAGACATTATGAAAATATACTATTATTATTCAAGCACATTTTACTTTAATTTTAAATGTATATAAAGCTAACATCTTGAAAAAGTAAGTATAAAGTAAAGAGAATGGTTATTGTTATAGTAAAATTGCTGAATAAAAATAAATATTCTATTAGAAATTGTTTTAATAATTCAATGAAAGGATTATCAAACGGTATTCACGGAAAAAAATATCAATATGAAAGTTTAGTTTGTAAAACAATAATATTCGTGATAGCATTGCTTATGCGAATATAAATGGTATCAGCTGTTAAAAGAAAATCACATTTTTCCTCTTTTTCTCTTGTCAATAAAACCTCTAGAAAGTCTTTTTCTCAATTTTTACTATTGAAATATTTGATAGTAAAGTAATAGTGGGATTCTTTTTTATGCCTCTTTCTCGTTTGTTATTTAAATCAATATGAAACAATCGATCTAAAATATTAAAGAATAAAACGCATCATGATTACATGTCAACATGATAAAGAATTTTCCTCATTATCTTCAAATTCTTCTTCGTCAATTTCATCTATTCGGCCAACATTTGGTGATTATACATTTTGTGATGTTACTACTGCAAATAATGAATTAAATTATTATCCACCATTTTATTCATTTATTGGACAAAATTGGACACCCACAGATCTTAATTTAACATCCACAATGGTTCCATCATGTAAATGTGATAATATGTTATCAATGGTCAAACAACCAAAACCAAAAAGACGTCGTGTAGCAACAATAGCTCAACGTCGAGCAGCTAATATTCGTGAACGTAAAAGAATGTATAATTTAAATGAAGCATTTGATCAACTAAGAGAAATAGTGCCCATATTTGCCTATGAAAAAAAATTATCAAGAATTGAAACACTTCGTTTAGCTATTACTTATATTGCATTTATGACACAAATTATTAATGGAAAAACGGTTGAGACAGCATCATTGAATCCTGAAAAAGTTTTAGAAGAATGGTTTGCTGATCCAAATAATTTAGCAGCATCAAATCAACAATCATTTACAGAAGCATCTTATTTTTTTGACACAGATTCAAGTTGTAGTTTTGATTAAATTTAAGATCATTAAAATAAATACCAGAAAAGTACATATGTGTACTATTATGTACATACGATGATTCAAGATCACATTTTATTTTTTTTAAACACATAATTTTTCTTAAAATATCAATATATTCAATTTTTATCAAATATTCAGAAAATATGTATCTTATCTTAATTGACGACAAATTAGAAAAATTTAATACTAAATTTCAGATTTGGTTATTGTATGCTGCAGTACAATAGTCTCTATTTTAGAGTATTGTTATTCTACATTTTAGCTTCGAGGTTTTTGCTCACATTTTCTCATATATTATCACTCGTATATAATCAAAGTCAATATTTACGTTTTGTTACAATTAATCATATATTCTTACACCTTTCTCGTCTTTTACAAAGATCATCTTCATTGAACCATTTCTCATGTTATTACAAGAAAATCGTTGACGTGTCAAAATGATCATCATTTTTTACACTGATTTTCTATATCGCACAGCAAGAGATTCTTTTTTCTTCTTCTTCTCTTCTTGTTTTCATTTTTCATTGGTATATGAGAAGGAGAGAGAAAAAAAAATTTTTTAATTTTTTTTTTTTCTATTTATACTCTAGAACACTTGAACTAATTGAGCAGCAATAATTTAAATGTCGGATAAAATTCAAACATAGTAAAACATTGATACCTGCATAGATGAGAGTAATGACTTTTTCTTTTCTTGTTAGCAAAACTTTGAAGAAATTTTGACAATTTAAAATGCTGAGTCGATAGTTAGATCAAATGAATAATTTAACGTTAGTTTATAACAGAAAAAAAAACCGATGATGATATTGTTCTTATTTAATGAAAAAAATACAATCACATTATACTGATTATGAGTATTCAATGAACACAATCATTATCATTTAATAAAATTCAAGAGAAAATTTGAAAATTTTTTGTTTTTAATTATACAAAAAAAATTTTGAAAATTAAGCATCAAGTACTTAGCTCAATAAAAAATATGCAATTTATTGTCATTTATAATTGAGCTAAATACCATAAAAATGATATCAAATTGTTTTGTTTTACATGTCGTTTCGTTCACAGTTGATGAGTGACATAAAATAAATGATCTATATCGTTGTCAACATCAAACATGTTCAATTTTTTTATTTATTGCATAATACTTACATATTTGCTTCTGGAACCAGAACACATGGATATTTGAACATATTATATATATATATATACAGATACCATTATCAAAACTTGAAGATGTTTTATTGAAAGACAATAATGATGATGATAATAATATAATATATACTCAGCTTATATTCACCTAATTAATTTGAAAAAACATAAGAGATCACCTATATTGTCTCACAGATGACACCAAAACGATGATGAATATCAAATAACAATTATATATATTGTTGGTACCATTTGTTCTTTGATAGCCATTCAAAAAGTCGTTTTTAAGAATAAAAATGGAAATTTAAATGGCTACAATAAACGTCAGCTGGTTCGGAATCGATCAAAACGATTGATAATGGAATAAAGATCGATATACAATTTGATTTCATCAAAAAATGTATATTTTTTTTTTAGATAAATGTACTAAAAAAAAAATCTTTATACTGTTTAACATGTAGTTAAAATTAGAGAATGATAGAAAAAGTGTTATTAAAATAGGTAAAAAAGATAAAATTATCTTCAAGTTCAAAGTTCAAATGAAATCAATTTTTTACTTATTATTTAGTTTTAATCGAATTAATTATTATTTTTAATTCTGTCATTTTTCTATTTTTTGTCCACTTTTTTTTTTAAAACTATACATAAATAACCAATTAGAAATAGAATATGTGCTCTTTAAAAAATATTTGCTGACGAATAACAGAACGAGAAAGTAATAATAAAAATACCTTTTTCTCTCTAGAAAAGAAGAGAATAAAATATGTGACGTAGATGGAACCGAAAAAAAGTGACTTATAATATATAGAATGTGAATCATACACAATATCGTTTAAAAATCAAACAACTACGTACGTATATAGAAAAAGATTAAAGTTTTGTTTACAATTTATCAATCAGAAAAACAGGTAAGCTAATCATATTTCATTAATTGAATATACAACTGTTATATTGTTGTTGTTTATTGTTTTTCTGTTACACACAAAAATATGATATATGAATGTACATATTTTGATAAATATGGTGCGCGCTTCTCTCTTTTTTTTCGTTTATTGACCACCTTCTTGCGCACCAGGTTTGTGCCACTTTGCAAAAAAGTTGTCTTAAACTTTTCTTTTGCATTGTATTATATCTCAATATTTACAAACTGATGCCCTATGTTGGAAACAGAAGACTTGTTTCGAGAATAGTCAATGAGATTGAAATCAACTGATTGATTGACTGGTCATGAAACAAGTTACTTAAACTCTGCCAGTTTGTTTTGTTGATAAAATTATTTTAATTCATCTTTTTAAATTTTGAGATTATAAAGTATCTTTCGTTAAGGCATTTAGATTTTCAAAACTAATGTTAATATTCTTTTGAAAATTAACCAAAACATAGGCAAAAACATGAGCATGAACCAGTGTGAACAAACTAATTCGATTCGACTTAAATCCATGCTGAGAAAAAAATTGTTTATGAACAATGAACACTCACGTTTTCTGCACACATTGTAGAGCATTTTCTCACTGTTTATCTCACTTTTTCGTATGTAATATACAACATTTTTCATCTTATTCATACAAAACAACCGATAGTTTTCAATCAATACACTAAGAAAGATTACTTGCATATTTTCTAAAATTTCGTAAAACTAGTATCTATCATATCAGAATCTAATTGTGGATGTTGAGTTTCGAACATCCTTTCGATACTATTACATTCGAATTTCAAACTCTTTGTAATCAAGTTGTTTTCATGCTTAAAAGCTTTCAGCATCTTCCACTAAATGGAACAAACTGGATGCTTTTCTTATAAACAATAACGAGAATCGATCTTTGATTCTAAATTAGACAATATTTTGTTCTAGAATGCATGTAAATTTGTATTCCTAGACAGAATCGACATCCTTTCGTGACATTTATCCGGTAAATGTTACATCAGCTCATCTTCTTTAAGACAAATGCTAATTCGTGGGTACTCTGATGCGATGGATGTGCACTTTAAAACAGTGTCTTCGGCTTTAAACCACGAAGAGAGAAGCAATTGTATGACTATCAAACTTCTAACTGAGATCTAACTCTAATTCTTTCAACATTTCCCATAGAAGCAAGCCATTTATCATCGGAATTTCTCTACACTATACTGGTTTTTCCAATATAAAATTTGATACATTTTAGTAAATCTATGGCGTATTATCAACGATACAACGATTACTCATTAAACGTTGACAATCCAAATATAACAACAAATTATCATTCATCGTGTCCATCTTGGTTTTCAAATGATCAAGGGTGGCGAATAATCGAAAATGAGCGATCTTCACCACCATTATCATCTACATCTCCGATGACATATCAGGATATACATGATAATCCAAACAATCCCGCTTATCGTTTACATTCCGATTTAACTTGTAATACAGCCTATTTCATTCCCTATTCTACTGACAATGTATCAACTCTATCTCATTTGAATCGAACATTATCAACCGATTATGCTCTAAGTAGTTCGGATTCATCCGCATCAACAATTACTACAATGCGCACTAGTACAATGAGTTCAAAACGAAAACGTAAACGAATATTAAATGGTGTTCAACGACAAGAAGCCACACAACGTGAGAAACGAAGAATGTTCAAATTAAATAAAGCATTTGAAGATCTTCGAAAAGTATTACCCGTAAGTGAATTTGCACGTAGTAAATTCTCTCGTGCAGAAACATTAAAATCTGCAATTGATTATATTAATCTGATGACAGACATGCTACAAACAAATTCAATAGAAGGAGACCATCTATAAATTGTGCCAATAACTTAGATAATCTCCGATGTCGTAAAGAAAAATTCTTATCTCTCCTACTGGTAGTAGTGTATTTGTTTTTTATTTGTATAGTATCATATCTAATAAATGCAATAGGCATATTTACGTTCCAAGACTGAGTGTAAGTATAAAAAAGCTCACCAATAATATATGAGAGAATAAGAACACAAATAAAAAGGTTAAAAGAACACGACCGTAAAAAACTATTTCATTCGTTGAAAAAAGTTGTTCATTATCGAAAACAATAATCTTTAAAACAGTCTTGTTTCGAAGTTTGAATTACATTGACGCATATTGATATTTATGGGATGATATTTTCTAACAAAACTATCATTAAAAGAAACCTCTTTTCAGTCTTTACTTTATAACAGTTTTCCCATTTAAAAATAGTTTATGTATCTTTTTATTTCTTTTTTTTTATTGTCACAATATTGTACATCTCTACATGTTAAGATAAGTATATTTCACAGATGATATTTAAAAACTCTTAAGACGAAAGCACGTTGACAGATAGTACAAAACAAAACAATATCAGCATGTAATTGTGCCAATTAAAGTAAACTATGAATGGAAACGGAGAAAAAAATCTGCAGCTGTGTGATCAACTTATCTGCACCAAAAATTAAATATATCACTTATTGTCTGGTAAGGCAAAGATGACAAGTGTATAACAGCTAGAATACTCAGTTAGCTAATGTATGTATATATGTGTGTATGTACATTGAATGAACATGTGTCATCATTCTATTCTATACATTATACAAAGAAAACTTATCAGTAACTGACCACTTGACATTATATTAATGTGTGTTTAAGTATTTCAATAGAAATTCAATTGTTCATTTATTATAGTGTTTACGAAAATGCAATAGCCCAGGTAAAACGCCGTCATCATGATTGTAAACTATGAGAAAAGGGCAAAAAATCGATAAGGAAAGCGAAAATCGTTAATATAATTGACAGAAATATACAAATAGATTCAAACAATAGAGAAATGCTCTCTCATTTTACTAACGTGAAGTCCGTATACGACGTGGAATCGGCCCACTAACTTTAGCCCCTCTAATCGGTGCAAAACTCATCAGAATCACATCCGATCATCATATTCCATAATCCCGACCCTTCCGAGTGCTTTCAGTCGAATATACCCGACAGAATCTATTCCAAAACAAGCAACGATTTAGCGGATAATAGTAAAACATGAAGACACCCACAAACACTTACAGACAGCCACAGACACCTGCACAGACAGCCACAGACATCTGCACAGACATCCATGGATGTCTGTGTAGCTGTCTGTGGCTGTCTGTGGTTGTATGTGTGCTGTGTGTGGGTGTCTGTAAGTGTCTGTGGGTGTCTGTGAGTGTCTTCATGTTTTACTATTACCCCGATTTAGCACCAATAGTATAACTGTAAAATCAAAAATTTTCCGTAGCTATTGAACATTAAGCCTAGTCTAATACATCAATCAACGCCCTTCGAAAACCTCTACAAGATATGTTAATAGGAAGGTTAACGAAGCCTGGCTGCAGATTCATGAACTGCGGCATGATTGATTGAGATGTTGGTTAGGTTTTGGATGTTGCTTTCAGATGGCTTGGGGTGAGGCAGTTTTAAGTTTCACAAATCTATCCTTTTTTATTAAAGAATAGATTTTTGAAACTTAAATCAGCATGGGAATTATTCAGCGCAATAGTACATGAAGTTTCCAGAGGTGCAATTGTTGCTAAATCTACTCTGCTTCTATTGCGGAGAATAGTGCTCTTTCAGAGTAACTGAATCTTAGATTTCATACATGGTCAGCGACCCGCTGGTCGTTCTGATATTGTAATTCATTTTGACTTTCTTGAGAATTATGGTGATCAAATCCACGAGATTTTTGTTGTCGCGTAGTTATTGTAGAAGACTGTGAGGGTGTCTATGTCTTAATGTATTTCACTTTTCCGTTTATATATTTTCAAGCTCATTATTTGTATAATGAGTATCTTACAGCTAGGGATGTTCTCGGTTCCGGTTCTCGAGTTGGAACCAAAACCGCGGTTCTTGGTTCTCAGCTCAGAACCGGAGAAAAATTTATCGGACGGTAACAATTCAACGGAATAGAATTCATTTTATAGTAAACGAAAGGATGTTTTTAAATAATAACAGGCAAAAATATCTTTTTGTAGCTTTGTCAATAGTACGCATTTAGCACCTCTGGAAATCTTTTACATAACAGAGGAACATGAAACGTGACGCAGTAAAATTCTGTATGTTTTTAAAAGATAAACTATAAAATTTTTTTATAAACTATAACAACTGCGTGCAAGCTGCAAGGTTATTAATCCTTCGCAGCTTTATTTTTTTGTTACTAGCAGTTCTCTGATAGCTAATACACAAATATAACTTTCAATGGGTAAAAATCTTAGGACAATTTTCTTCTATCTCATGTAAAAGAAGTTGGCTTTAAGTACGTCTTATGAACGCTAAACAGCTTTCTCGAAATAAAACTGTAGTATCTGTGATTAAAAAGTTTCGGTTTCGAAAAACAGGAACCGTCTAAAAAACCGCGGTTCCGATTCCATTGTCAGAACCGATAGTGCGATTCCGATTCCCGATGAAGAACCGAAAATAAGAGAACCGCACATCTCTACTTACAGCGGCGTCTTCAAATCAGTATTTTAGTTAATCGATTCATTCTTCCAAATTCCTAAAGGAAAATCATTTCAATTTAATTTACAGGTATCGTCAACTTATAAATATTGACTTATTACTAGCCGATAATAAACGTCCTGTTGTCCTAAATATAAATAAACCGTCTGTTTTATTCAATTTGAAATATGGTACGAATAATGAATCAAGATCTGTATGGCAAAGCTGATGGCCGAAATGGTTACATTTTTCTATACCCTTTTAGGTTTTATAATAAACCTATTTTTTTTTAGAGAGAAGGACGATCTTTTATACGATAATATCTGACTAAACTTTCCACTTATTGTGAGTTGTTCCAAAATTAGTGATTCTTACCGATCGACAGATTTTTGTTTTTGATATACTGGCGACCGCATATATGATTACATTTTCTTCAAACAGGAGAATGCGGTGTTGTTATATAATAAGTCATGCATATAAAAAACTCTACTTCAGTTACTGTATACATAAAGTGAAAAATGATCTCTTTTCAGTTCCCTGAAATGATCTATTTCCAGCGTAAAAATTAAATAACTCGCACTTCGTTCTTTATTCAATGTAAACTCCGTTCTCTTTTTGTACTTTTTCTATCGTATGATATATCGACATCACTGGTGTTCCTTTTAGTTTTTTGTTTCTCGTCAGATACTCTCTGCGATGGTATAATTGTGAATGGACAGAAAAAGAACAAGGAGACATATATCTTCAATATCGACGCTAACATTCACTCTCACTTAAAAACTTATTCTTGAGATCCAAATTACATTCTAAGTAGCCTTACATACTTATGCCGAATAAATGAATTATTTTTTATGAAACTGAAAACTTGAATTTGTTTTTAATTTAAAAAATACATCTTAAAGCTAAAAGAATTTAAGCATAAAAAATATGATGAAAAAACAATCTTTTTTAAACAGACTATATTTACGAAAATAGACAGAATATCTGACATACAGTATTGCGCATACCGTAACAAAGAGAACAAAGAAAACAATCTCTATTAACAGGTAAGCGTAGCTTAGTAATAATCAATTCGAAAAAATACATTAAAAAGTGCTAAATCATTTTATAAACAACTTTAATCTAAAAGATTTTGTATAGGAACTTTTTGTTGCAATATTTAAACAATCAATTTATCTTCATATTTAAAACCATGAAAACGAAATAATGTTGACTGATAAAACTGTTGTAAATCCACTACACCATATTGTCGTGCCTAAAATTAATCATACCATTTTTGATTCTCATTCGTATATACAGAAAATTATATTTACTCGACTAATAAGATTTTCTTTACAAATTTTATTTGGTGCATTCAAATGATCATGTTGATATACAATAAATTCTTGAACCAATTGTTTAAGTAAAAACAAAAGAAATTCATTATTATCCTTTTTATATGTTAGATAACCTTGAAACACCTAAAAATCAAGCAATTACTTTGTTTTTTCGTATGAAATTCTGCATCAAAGACTAACTTTTTCTATTATTCCTATAATGCCATATTTTTTGCGTTTCAATAAAACGTGATCAATAATCTACAGAAATAAAGATTTGTCTTGTTTCACTCTCTTAAAATGATACATTAGTTGATGACAAAACCAGACATTAGATTATAGAATAAAATATGAGAAATTCTCTCTCCGTTTACATGGTTTTTTTTTCGAATAACTAAAACTGAGGATAAATAGAATGCAAATAGTAGTCGTCCGACTTTTTGAGAATAAGTCTAATGTTTAAGACTCAAACTTACATGTTGTTATACATCAGCAAGTGGATGGTGCTTCATATGACTTTGGGTTACAAATCTTGCCATAAGTTCATCCTATTAAAATAGAAAAGAGATATTTGACCATTGCTCTAATTTACTATTTGTCTTTTAGTTTACATTAAAATCGGATCGGCAACATCATGCACCTAAAATGAATGTAATTTATTATTGACTATAGAATGCAAACTGTAATGTTGCTCAACATACTAGGGGTAGGACAATTCCAAATCCTAAGAACTGGTCACTAGTTCAGTTCTTTTTAAACGCGAACGGGCACAAGTTCCTTTCAAAAGAACGGGAACTGATTACCAGTTCTTTTCAAGAATTCAAAGTAAAATAAACTGATGTAGCTAGTTATATTGACTTGGTTTAGTCAATTAAACGCACCATCTACCTCTGGCGCACAACAAAAAGTCAGTGTAACTAGGTTCATCGGTTTTATTTTATTTTTAATTTTTGAAAAGAACTGGTAAGCAGTTCGCGTTCAACAAGAACCGAACTAGTGACCAGTTCCCCTTCCAAAAAACGGAACTGGAACTATCCCGCCCCTACAACATACTATAGATAATATGTCAGATCGCGTAAATATTGGTTCATTAAAAAAGAAAAAAATAACATTTATTTTTGTTTTTAATATTCAGAAATAGACAACATGTTTATTTGGCCGTGCGTAAATGTATAACAAAAGATGAATATCATCACGTACTTGATGTCTCCCAGCTGAAACAGGAGATAGTTAGTTTAACTGGCAAAGTCGCTGTAGTTTAAAACAAAAACGTCGTGTGTTCGAATCCGTACTAACCACTTGGGGGACTGTGTGTCCTATTAACTAAGTCTGTCCGTATGGAAAGAGGAGAAAATCTATTCTAAAAACCCATAATCGAATAAAATGTCGATTTGGTACCTGTCGAATAGAACAGTTATCTTACCAGGATTTTTTCCTTCACTGCAATGGCAATTGACTTTTTGATAATTTCATAACCATAAATAGATGGCGCGATACTAGTATAAATCTATGAAAAAAGCAATTGAATGATAGTACTTGGCCCGTCAAATGTACATGAATAGAAAACTTACTCTATGAGTAATACGAGGATTACCAGATGATTTTATTATTTCTTGAATATCTTCATCAGTCAATGTTTCATAAAATGATATCTTGTCTTCTCATGTTGACACATGATTAGCTTCGATAATTATTGCAAACACCGGCAAATTATTTTGTACGTTTAATGATATTTTATATGTATTTCTATAAACACCCAACACTTCCTGTAAAAGACCCATTTGATCACTTTCAAACTAGAGAGCATACTAGGGCTTCGTATAGGTTGTGTTTTTGTCGACCCATCCCGCCGCTAACGTGCCTAATTAAAGCCTGATTCGGCCTCGCTCATCAAATGTTTTCCTATATATTCGAGAAATTCAAGCAAAATATAAGGAACAGCGTATGATGATACGACACTCATACTGAGTTTTCTTGTTGAGAAATAAAATCTGATCTAGGTTCAAGAACACTTTGTATTGAACGAACAAAGTGTGCCGAGACGGCTTATCTGATCCGTTTCAAATTTTTGTTTTATTTTCAATCAGGTACTACTTGAATACTTACAATTCCGTCTCCTGGTCGACATGTATCACAAAGATCACTTAACAATAAAATCTCTTTTGATCGTCGAATTCGTTCGGATGGCACTGCTCTAGGGCTCTCCTGAATTGATATACGTTGATAATTTCGATATAATATCTGGAAAACCGACAGTTTCTATTGAATCTATCTTTGTATTTATCGCCACCTGCCTCTTCCATACTGATTTCAAATGGTTCGTTACTTTGACATTCTGAACATGGTTTAATTTCATTTGCTTGATTTTGTATAAATGGTCTCAATAAAAAGCCACATTTTTAACAATTAAACTTGATGATACTTACTTGTGCAAGTACACCAGCTGAAGTTGTAACTACATCGTTAATTCCAATTAGCTTGTGCAAATGTTCAACTTAGAGAAGCAATAATAGATAAATCTATATTGTCACATGCAATCAATATCTGTCTTAAATCACCAATATTATCATTTTGTAAAGAATTATTTATTCGAATAAATAATTCTTTATCAATGCCACAATGATTTGGATATAGCGGACAAGAGAGCTGGGTTATAGCATCAAAGATAAGAAAACATCACTTACATAAACGATACGATAAATGTATGCACATTTACGTCATTAAAAGTTTTCAATGTTTGTTCTGATGCACCTAATAAAAAAAATGCCAACACTTCATCGTTACAGCGATAAACTTTTTATGGATACCAGTGTTCTCAGGCTAATTTTTGATTAGCGAGTTTTCTACGTTAGTTCTTTTTTGTTTTTTATGCTATCAAATAGAACATGTTTTGAAGTCAATTGACCACTATTTGAATCTGTGAAAAACTGACTTTCATTTTTCCACTTAATGTCCACGCGGTTGCCCACTATGCGCTGGTCATTAAAATGTTCAAAATCAACAACGACACTTGTTTTTGTTCTTGAACAAGACGACGCATTGCTTCACGATATAATGATTGTTTTTTACCGTTAGGTAAACGAAATGTACATAGGAATCGTTTAAAATGGCGAATTATTTCATTATGTGGACTAGGCATTTGAACCCACGGTTATATTTTATGACATTGTGTATCCCTCAAATTTTTGATATATGCATTAGCCTTCGAAATAAAAACAAATTCTAAGTTTCGCATACAAATCATAGCAGTCTAACATATACATCCATCATCTTGGCTTTCATCCTGTCGACGCTTATGACACTGAAAATGTCTAGTGTCAATATCCGATTCATCGTCACCAAAATCATTTTCAATTCCGAGACGTCGCCGTTTTTCTCGCTCTCGACGTTTGATTAATCCATCAACTTCTCGACGTTGATCAAGTGTTATGGCATCAACATCTTCATCACCAATACTCTCAGCAACATATCGATCTAGTTCTGGTATAACTTGATAATCTCTAAAACGAATAGAGAACTTGAAGAAAAATACAGCAAGGTAGAAAAGAAATACCTGCAACTCATAATTATCATTGAACAAATCTCACCAGGAAACTGGTTGCTTCTACTTTACTAGAGAGTAAGAAAGTAAAAAAAGCTTGTCAAACTGTGCAGTAAATTGCTACTACTTCATAGCGCAATTGATCAACTATGCTTTGTTGGGTTTTGGTAGATATCTTCAGATCAAAAATCCGAAGCTCTATTTTTTACAGAAATCTTCCGCTTGCTCAAAACCTGGATCTAATTTTAAAAATCTTGTACATTGTATCTATAAGTGTTAGCTTTAATTTAAGGTCAACTCGTTCTCTCTATCATCTAGACTAAGGAAAAAGTCTTACAAATACAAAACAGTGAGAAAGTGCACGTTATTTTCGAGAAATGATGACGCATGATGTACTCTGTGGTAATATAGTACGATGTGATATTTAGGCCTCTGAGCAAAACCCGTATAACTCTTGATTGGATCATCATCTAGAGATAGCGAACATCTCATTCAGATCATAAATGTTTACTCTACAAGATAGTATCATGTGAGACGTACATTGGAGAAAAATGAGAACACAATCTGATAGCAACCACCTTTAGTTCCACAACTACGCGTTTAACTCAATTTTTGGTCCTTCGAAGAAAAAAATCGTGTTTCTGACAGGAAAATTTAAAATATTTTAGAACCTACACATGAACAATCAAGATGAGAATATAACTGTGCTCTTTGATTTTAATTATATCCGGATTTGAATAACAACAGATGTTTTCAAAACTATACAGACTTTTTGGCCTTCATCCTATAGAATTTGAAACTAAATGAAGGTTATGGAATAAATTCTTGGAGCCTGTAATGCAACGAACATAACCACTTGCAAGTAATAAAATTTTTGTTATTGATATCTAACTTAATCTTAATGAAGATACCTTGATTAATTATCTTTTAATTATTGAAATTATTAAAAACGTCTTGTTGTGCGCTCATCGTTCATTTTTTTCACGCGCCCTAATGGAAAAAATTTGACTCAACATCTAACGAGCTAATAACCTACTTTTTTTCTCTCGACGAAAAACAAATTTTCTTTTTTCTGACTTTTCGTTGCATATAGTTTTTCATTCATGAAGAATGAGAATCGTCTAGAAATTATGAATGAAGAATCCCGAAAGTTTTTGAAAGAATTGTCATTTATTCCTGAAGATTATCCACATAGACCCCCGTTAGTATTTTTAGATACACCTGCTGAATTTTTTCCGGTTATTGAGAATATATCAAACGAATTCGTAGTAGATGATCAGAAATTTGAACAGGGTGAGGAATTTATTTGCTTTTTTGTGAGAAAAAAAACCAAAGTAGATGAACAAATAAAAAAATTATCACAAAAACCTATGGCTGAAAATGGTTTATTAGTATTTCTTTATCCAAAACTGACATCATCCGCCTACAAAGAAGACGTATCCAATGAAGAGCTGTATGCTGGATTGATATCAGCTAATTGGAAACAAAATACAAAAGTCAATTTAAGTCCTCATAACTGGGAAGGCAAATCATTTCGCTTGGCCGATAGAATTGAAACAGTACATTATAATCATGTATATACAAATGAAAGAAACGTTAAAGCTGCAGAAAAACTTCATCAGACAAACAAATCCGTAGTATATCAAAGGACATCACCTGCTAACGATCCAAAAGATTCTAGATCAGAACCAAAATCGCCAATGAAAAAATCTGTATTTGTTGCAAAAAAGGTCGCGAAAAGAAAATAATAATTAAAAAAATCTTACCTTGTAATATGTCATCAAAATC